ACATAAAGCACAAGAAAGATCAAATCTTGTTTGACAACAATTTTAATTTTTAATCGTTTATTAGAATAATGAAAAAGAAAAAAGTAAAAGAACTTTGAGACATTTTTTTTTCTCTGTCTCTCCTTGTTGTCATAAATTTATATGCGGAAATAATTGACTGTCCGTGTTTTCATATTCAAGTGAAGATTATTTTTCTTTTCATAAGGGACTCTTGTCTATCGATAATGACTTTTTTTCCTGTCTATTCCATTCAACGGTAGTTCTATCTTCATCTTCTTGTCTAGTTGTCCTGAGGGAAAATAGGTAGGCGAACTCAAATGTACGCGTGTGCATATCGATGTCAATCTGGCTACCAGTGGTATAATTGATTAATCATTCCGGTTATTAGGCTTCTTCGTCATCTCACTATCCTTATTGATGAAACCTACTTTTGAAATAAGACTCTCCTACACATATATACATACATACATACACACACACAATGATTTTGACTTTGATTGATTGAATAAAAAAGAATGAGTAGCAATTCTAAATCTCATTTACATGGATCATGCCCATGCCGCTTACTGACGTCTTTATATGAAACGATTCTTATCAAGTAAAGTCGGCAGCAGTTAAGGGGGCGCGTGTGCACGATATAGGGAACAGATTTGTGTCAATTGCCCGTCGCGCACATATATACAAAAGCCGCATATATATATATATATATACATTGATTCATTCATTTCGTTTGAACATTTTCAATCGATTATTTCCATCCATATGTAAATATTGACTCTTTCGATTTCTCTGCACTTGCTGATGATGATTCTTCTCTCGTCAATCGTATCATGTTTCTTAATGATCACCAGCAGCACGCGCTTCTTTCATTCAATTAGGACAAACCACAGTATGTGTTCTTTTGTCGTTGATAAGTTTGAAACTTGTCGGAAGAAAGAGAGAGAGAGAGGGAGAGTGAGTGAGTAAGAACGGCACTTGCTCTTATCGCTACATATATATATATATATTCTCACCGCCTGCTCATGATTTGCTACATATGTGCTGTTGTATTTCTCTCATTTTTTTTAATGAGAACAACGAGAACGCGTTGAAGATCAATATTATTCTCCCTCTGTATGTGTCTGCCTCTGATCTCTTGTTCATTGCTAAAATATTCTGTTGATTTGTCGCACATTTGATTGAATTCATACAATATTTAGATGTTGTTATGTTTGAAAAAGAAGAAATAAAAAAAAAAGAAACTTAATTAAAATGTTCTAAATGTATCAAAGTCATTATTTAATAGGAATTAAATTGATATTCAATAACCTTATTTATTCGTTTAGGATAAAAATATAATTACAAAATTCAATCATCTTTTTTTTTTGTCTTTTTGTCCTAATTATCACGCACATAAAAACAGGTGAAAGAGATTTTTTTTTTCTTTCCTTATGGCTATTTATTGTCTTACGATGATGATACATTAATAGTACTAATGATTAATATTTTGTTGTATGTATCAAGAAAATAAATCAACAAAAAAATAGAACAAAACAAAAGACGGTCTTCTTGATGAATATATCTCTTAATTTCCTTCTCTATCATCAAATCCTTTTGTAAATTATTCACACCTTTTAAATTCTCTTATCTTAAAAGAAAAAAAAACTAACAAATGAATAGATCCTTACGTACACAGTTTGATTGGATGCCTTCAAGCTATGGCATGTGATCTAAATTCAATGTGACATTGTCAATCTGTTATCCATTATATCTAATTGGCAAGTGTATGCGTATAGAGAATACATTTATTCACTTGTTCGATAGTTTTCCGAATAGAAAATATTTCTCTCTTGCTCGTTTTTTTTTTCTATTGGTTAGAAAACTAACAACAGTACCACTCAAGTGCACTATGTAATAATGGTTATTGATAGGCAGACATTAGTGCAAATTGTTCTATTATTCGACATCGATCATAACGATGACGACGACGTACACACATATGTGTGTGTCTCTTAAGAGGGAAAATGTTAACTTATCCATGATGGTTTTTTTTCTTTTTCCTCTTGATATCCAACTAACAATATGAATAAGATCGATGATGTGCAAGAATACAAAGTTAGAAGAAATCATACAACCTTTTTATGTCAGTAGAATGAAAATGAGATACTCATTCATGTTCTCGCTTTATGCGACGACGGAAGTCAATATATCATCGTTATATTCTTTGGAATAGATATTTACTTGTCGAACAATATATATAGATGTATATATCGATATCTATGAAATCTTAATGACGACAAGTGTTTTGTTGATTAATAATTCTTATAAATGAGAATATTTCCTTTTCTCTAGAGATAAAAGAAGTAATGAAGAAAAGTACATAGAATGACTTCAAAAGTTTTTCTATTCAATGATCGAAATGAAATGTTTCTTGATAAAAATATCTAATATGATTGTTTTTTTTTGTAATTGAAAATTTTGTTGGTTATTTGTTAGTAGTTATAGTTCCGACTTTAATGACGATAAGTAATTATGCAATTAAATATTACAAGTATATGAAGATGAATAGTATTTTCAGTGAAATCTTTATTAATATAAACGAGTATGACAAAAATATTTCGACATTTCAAAAAAAAAAAATCAATTTATTTACAAAGAAAATAAAGTAATAAAATAACAATATAATTTGTTTCAAAAGATACATTAAAGTATCACTGGATTTAACTATGCTCGTTTACAATCAGTTGATCATCATATTTTTTTCATTGAATACACTCTTCGAGCAAAAGTATCAATTACTTTTCGCACATATAAATAAAGTCAATTCTCTTTATCGCTTTCTCAATTTCTTGAAGCAAATAACTATCTGTTTTGTCTTTATGATATCCCATATCATTTGATATGTTATCCCGGATGAAATAATCCAATAGATTTAATTTTGATGAATTTCATGGTCATTTTTCTTTCGGAACAAACAATTTGAAATAAGTTTTGGATCATTTTTGAATTTTTCGATTGGTGTGAAAAGTTAGTCTGATCCTATTAGAAGCACCAATTTTAGTGCCCAAATAGCAGGTCACTCTCTACTTTCTAAACTAATAACAATTAATCATAATAACTTGTGTCATTCAGCCCTTTTTTCTTTTTGGAAAGGAAAATATGGACGTGTAAGTCCATTTCACATTACACGCGATGCAACCATGATAGATATGGAATATTTTTTCAATTCGTGTAGTCAACCGCATTCGTTGGCATCGAATCGATGATTAGCTCAGACAAGGTCATTTTTATATTTAAATAACCCTTTTTTGTGAATAATTTTTCATCAGTAAACATCGGTTTTTCCTATTTACCAGAGTTTATATTCTTCCTAATCCATTAGCAACATGTTTCCCTTGTTGTTTTTTTATCTTCTTTTAAATTCTGAATATTAATTTTTCGATAGCTGTTTTTTTTTTTAAAACATCATTGAGCATTTGCTTGATGGTTCCAATATTAATTTTGAAGACTTTAGTCATGGTTGGTAAACTTTTTCAAAGAACACAGAAATCCATCTTGTTTTTCTATCAAATTGTTTGAGTCATTTTGTACGAACAGTAAACCATAGTAATCAAAACAATAGGTTTCATTTTATTTGATAATAAGTGTATGAATCAGAGAATATTTCATGAACAGTCGCGTGATCAATATCAAGATACAATTTTACAAATATAACGAAGACGTCTGCCACTAATTTAAGCAAAACCAATCAGTTATGGGTCTAATAATATACAAGTAATATTTGATTTAGTAACTTCTTTCGAACTTTTTGTTTTTCTACCAATTTACTCCCATTTATCTTCAATATCGTTTAGTTATCTAGTCCCCAAAAATATGGATGATGATAAAACTGTGACCATCTATCTAGTTATTTATGGAATATTTTTTGAATAACTCACGAGAAAGTCAAGATTAAGACATGCGATTTTCACCAATCAATAGTCAAGACTCTAAAGCATATTTGTATTAGCAAAATCTCTTGTCAGAAAAACTCAGCAATTTGGGTTTCCAGAAACTCCGAAACTTTCCTGGTGTTCGGTTAGGTATCTTGAGAAATAATGGAAGGATAGGTTTCCAATAAGATTGAATCTCATGGCGATGCTAATTTTCAAAAATAGATGCCAAAATAATACGAAACCCTACGGTTTGTCAGCAAATGTTTTTTTGGTTATTTCTAGAGAAAAATTTGAGACATTTACCAGTCTGTTAAAGTGAATCTTAACAGCTTCAAGAAATCAAAATACACTTCATTTTATATGCTCAGGAGGGTTCTGTACTTAGTACAAATAGAACATATTCTTCGTTCAGCACAGTTTTTGAAAACTTTTTCAGAAGTGAAGACACTTTTCTACTAGTTTTTAGAGCCTTTGTTTAGTGTTGTATTATGCTGCATATTGAAGGGAGTAAATTTTAACTTTTCTATTCAATTCTGATACCTTTTAGCAAAATTAAAAAGGTTTCAAGTTTTTATAGAAATAACCAAGAATCGTCTTACTGACATGCTGTGGAGTTTTGTATCATTTTTGTATGTTTTTTAGAAATTAACATAGTCGTAAGATTTAATTTGATTGGTAATCTATTTTTTTATGTCTTTCTGAAGGTGTCTACTCGAACAATATCAAAATCTTAAGACTTCTGAGGAATTTATCTTCAGAACTTTTCCGACAAAAAAGTTTTTCTTATAAACAGATGCTTGAAAACCTTGGTTGTAGTTTACTGTAAACAGTTTGTTTTTTATCTTGTATTTCACGTGAATTTTTTTTATAAAAAAAAAACATTCGAGTGCTTTGATTTCTGTTGCTGATAATAGTAAACATTAAAAGATTGTTGTTCTCGCTGTACTTAATTGATTTAGAAAATATAATTTTTTGATTAAAAATTGGCTCGTGATGAACATCATATAGTTTTTTAACTTTGAGAAATGTAGCTTTTATTTTAAACAATATATTCAAAAAATGACAATAAAAAACAACGATATACGATCATATTGTAACTTCAAGTTCGTTTTCTGACTCTTGCGTATCTTTGTTTTCATGACTAGTTGATAATATTCCGAACTCAATTTGTTGTTGTGAACTATTGATTACTCTTTGCATACGTAGTTCAATATTCTCAATTTTTAATCTTTCAATATCATCAAATGCTGCTTTAAGATGAGTTTTTAGTGCTTCATAACTCATTTTTAATTCTTCCATTTTTTGTGAGTCATCTTTTTTATTTTTCTTTGCCGTTGTTAATGAAAGATTCTTCATTGAATTTTCAGAATTATTATTTGGAAATATAAGTGCTGCAAATGAATCCATACTACCACGACCACCTAATAATACAATATTTTCTAAGTCGAATGTATGATATCGTGGCATTATTCGATTAATTTTTGTTGATGGTTTTGCATTAGATGTTGAATGAGCACGAGTTATAGTTGAATAACGTTCAGCTTTAATTGCCTAAAAAAAGATTCAAAATCAAAATTTCCATATTGTAGCTTTTAATATTAGAGAATGTCTACTATTCGTAGCGCTGGTCGAATCAAAATTTTTAGCATCGAACTTAGTCGAATCGTACTTTGATATTCTCAATGGAGCACTCTAATTCAAATGGAATAGTCGTCCCGAAGATATGAGATATTTTTTCCGCCTTTTTATATCCGGTGACTAGCGTACTCTTCAGATCTCTGAGACGAACAGGACTTATTGAGTAAGGGATCAAGCCGACGAACACTAATTGTCAATGTTAGAGAATACAATTTGATTTATATTTAATGATAATCTTTCATCAATAAGATGAATGAAAAATCGATAGTTAGATTTTATTTATCGTTAAAATAAAGAGTTGCACAAAAAGATCGTATTTTATCAAATAAATATAAATTCTAAGACCTGTCATTTCTGTTGCTAAAATCTCTAGGGAAATCTTCAGTGACATTTAATACTTCGTACACACAAAATAATGATTATATACGGTATTCTATAAGGAAATATTGACTACATTCTTAAAATGCTTTAATAATTACTTGTTTTTGATTTACATTGCATGTATTAATCAAAGTAAGTTACCTGTTCGGACCGGTCTTTTAAGCGACACAAGTGAATCATTTTTTCACATTGTACTATTTGTGCTTGAATAATTGATATCAGACTATTATCTTGTAGAGTATTTTGTATTGTTTTGAAGTATTCTACGAATGTATATAAAATGTATTCTATTGATATATTTAAAGTTCTTAACAAACCGATTGCACGTAAATAATATTCAATAGCTGCTGTCCATTTTTGTATTGATACTTGACTATCACCTAAACGAATTTGTTGATGAGCCTATTGAAATATAAATTGAATATCGATTGAAACAAAATGTTATATAACATACATTTGGAAGTGATGGCAGATTTTCAAGATCCATCAAAATTTAAAATCTACAGATTTTTCGTAGTTTTTGTTTTTTTTCTTTATAAGAAGAATTTTCTATTTCTTATTTCGTCGTCTTTTTTTTTTTTTTTTTATAAATATGAGCATACGTGTGTATTGTGCAAAAAAAGTGAGAGAAAGAAAACGAAAAGTGTATTCCATACGAATGAAACTTTTCCGAAAAAGAAGAAAAAAAACGAAAAGTAGAATTCATGTATAACACACTTTCATACATTTGCATACACATACAAATGACATCGACAACAAATAAAGACAGAAGCAGTAATAATGTTGTCAAAACACGAAAGACATTTCGTTGGAACAACAAGTAGAAACAAAAAGAGAGAAAAAAAATGAGAAAAAAGAAGATTTATATGTATTGCCAAAAGAATTAAAGATCGTTGTTTTTTTCAATTTATTTTTTTTTGTTTAACGCACATAAAAAGAGATAATTTTATTGCTTTGCACGTGCTCAGATTGTACTGTTATTAGCAAGAAAATGCCATTACATATATATATATAGAAATGTGTTACGCACACAAAAAGAGACCTATTTCTGAATGACTCGAAAAGAAAAAACAGCAAAACCGCAAAAATGAAGAGATAAAGAGTGAGAGATTGAGACGATGAAACAATGTACATATAATATAATATATAACGAGGTTCGACAAGGCGCGAGAGCAAAAAAGAAAAGAAAACAAAACGAAAAGAACACATCACAGATGAACACTCGATCGTTTCGAAATAGCCGTTTTCATGAGCGATGCTGTTATGAGCTTTGAACCATGATCTTTTGTTAAATATATTTCATTTAAATCTAATATTGATTGTAATGGTCCCAATGTATGTACTACTGGTGGATAACAAGAAAAGAATTTATGCATCATTGCATCATGTGCAGATATTCGAGAATGTGGATTATAACGTAAAAATTTTTCTAATAAATCAATTCCATTTTGATCAAGACGTGGTGCTAAATGATTTAATGATTCACCATGATAGAAAGGAAATCTTAGTGCTTGAAAATCAGGATTTGTTGTTACACCGGGTAAAGTTTTTTCATTTGGTGTACCAAGACATTTGAATATTAAATATAGTTCTTCATCAACTTTTGTACCAGCAAATAATGGTCGCCCACATGCCATTTCATAAAAAATACACCCAACAGCCCATATATCAATTGGTGTCGAATATTCTGTACTACCAAGTAAAACATCTGGTGGTCGATACCATAATGTAACAACTTCATGTGAATATGTTTTTGTTGGAAATGATTTAATACGTGCTAAACCAAAATCAGCTAATTTTAATTCACCGCGTTCATTAATCAATAAATTTTGTGGTCTAGAATAGAAATTTATTTATATTAAACGACTAACAAATGATTATTTATTTTTTTGTTTTTACTTAAGATCTCGATGAAGAATTTTTTTTGAATGACAATAATCTAAGCCACGTAAAAGTTGAAATAAAAAAAGACGAACATTTTTTATATTAAGTATATTTCCACAATCATCCATATATTGTTTTAAATCTTTTTCAACATATTCAAAAACAAGTGTTAATGTTGTTTGATTAAATATAATGTCATGTAAACTAACGATGTTATTATGTTTGAGACCTTTTAATAGGCTTACTTCTCTTAATGCTGTACATGGAGCACCTAAAACAAACAATAAAGATATTGGAGGAATTTATTTAAATGTTGTGTATGTTATAAAAATGAAACACTATTGATAAGAAATGCGAGATATAACCTATGATAGGAAAGTCTTTAGTCATTAAAAGACAACTGGTTAGAGTCCGAATGAAAATGTCAAGTGAGTCTCGAGTAAATATGTTTCAGATTTTCCTTCTAGGTTTAGATGAAACAACTAAGAGTAAATCATGTAAAAACAGTTCGACATTGTGATTATGCAAACCAAAACAACGGTTGTAACGTATTAATCAATGTGTGTCTTGGAATAGTTTCAGCTCAATATTATTTTAGAATACTGAATTCTATATGAAATGAGATATTAAAATAAACGAAACCTTATTCGAATAAACTGTTAGTTTCTATGAAAAATGGTATTGGTCAATAAATTGTTAGTTTGAAAAACTGCTTTTAAAATCTATCAGGCAAGATAGTGTAGAAAAGTCAATAGTACCCTTTATAGAACAAATTGAAACATTAAAAGTTATTTCGTATTTTTGAATTTGATAGATTTTAATCGAAATACAAAATTAATAGAAATGATTTTGTTTACAATTACTATTTCGAAACAATTTGATAACATATTCGGAAAGAAATCTGATTGTAAGTTACTGTTTCTAGCTCTGCCCAATTGTCTTTAAGTGTCAGAAATATGATTGACTACTTTGAGCCAAAACTTTCGCGTCATAGATGAAAAATATAAAAATTTCGGGATTGAACAATACTCAATCAAAGTGAAAGATTTGTTGTTTTTGCTTTGACATTTCGTGAATGTACGCTTCAGATTAATTTTTTCTTTACTTAAAACTAAAAATGAGCTGAACTATGATAAAAAAAATTTATCAAAACAATAGCAAGGAAAAGCTGTCAAGATCGAGACTACAAGAAAAGTTGTTCCGATCAAAACTAAAGATTATCATTAATATATTCGATAAATGTAAGTGAATTATCTTATAAATCATAACATAATTCAACAGAGATAATCCAAAAAAGTTCTAGCCATCGACTAAAGAATTCAAAAAGAATTACCGAGACTGGGATCGATGAAAAAAAGTTATTGGAATCCACGACCAACACAAACTTAGTTCCGCACATTTCTATTTGATACTCATTTTTATTCAATGAATTTTATGAAAACCTATTCCAGACTTTTTCAATATATCACCAATACTTGACGAATACAGTAATTTCTAACTGGAATATCAATCTATTATGTCAAAATACAAGTCACTGATGAGACTATATGATATGAGAGAAAAAAATATATAATGAATTGTTGTAACTAAATATACCTTCTTCTTGTTCAAGTCGAATTTCTTTTAATGCAATATAACCATTTAATAAATGAGATTTTCCTTTGTAAACGGTTGCATATGTACCTATTAAAAATACAATTAATAAATAAATATTTATCATAAATAAATCTTAAACCTTCTCCTAATTTTTCTAATTTAACATAAGATTCAATTTTTCCAAAACCAAGATCAAGCATTGAAAGACGTTGTTCATTTCGACTTAATTGTCCACTCATACTAGTATTTAGCTGTGATGGTGATCGATGTACTAACGATGAATTCGATTGATTTAAAACATTATTTAATGTCTGTGTTGATAAAGAATTTGTTTGATAATAAGATGAACGTTGTTGTATTTGTTGTTGATTTAATTTAAATTTATTTGTTAAATTTATTGCTGATGATTGATTGTTATTATTATTATTATTATTATTAGTAGTAGTACTACCAGTTAAATTTTGCTTCGTAAATGAAAGACTATTTTTTAATTCTGGTGGTAATGATATACGTGATTTAAGGTCACGTAAGCCTTTTTTCTTTTTTGCACTATGTTCACGCATTTTAACTTTCGTTATTTCTTGATTAGAATTTTCAATATCTGTTGTTGAATATTGTGTTGTTAAATTATCAGGTGTTATTGGGTGAATAACAGTTCGTCCTTGATTAAAAAATGAATAAAAAAAAATTTAAAACAATTTATTTCTACCTTTAGTATTTGTTGATGAAGATGAAGATAAATCAACATCATTAATAGCTGATGTTGATAAATGATGATCATTCATTTGAGCATTTAGTAATGTATTCACATCACCATGTAAACTAATTGAATTTGTCAAATAGTGTTTATTAATATTAGCATTATTGTTGTTATTATTATTAATATTATTATTATTATTATTAGCAAGAACAGATAATGCTGTACCAATATTAGATGTCATTGATGATGAAGATTTGGACGGTTTTATGGGATCATCTCGTTGTTGATTTTGATTACCATTTAATATATTATTTCGATTTTTATTTGATGTTGATGAAATACCCGATGGAGATGATGTGTGAGCTGATATAAATGATGATGATGATGATAAACCTAAAATTACATCTATTATTATTATTATAGACAAAAAAAAAGATCATTATTATCTTACTTAGACTAGGTGCAATTCTTTGTGTTTGTTGATGTGTTAATGCTGCACTATCAGATCGAATTGTATTATCATAATAATAATCTTCATCATCAATATTTGTTGTTTTTAATCTATTTTGTTGTTTTGTTGGTAAAGGATTTTCTTCTTCAGATATCGGTACTAATGCTGTACCACTACCATTACACATAATACTTGTATTTGAACGTGTTATAAATGATGAGTCATTTTCATCAATTTGTTTCGTATGTAAACGTTGATATATAATATCAGCAGTCAACTTATTTTGTTGATCATTACTATTAGATGTATTATTTGTTGCTAAAGTTGATAAATCTGTATTTGTACTATGACTGCGTTTAAGAAATTGTGAAAAATGTCGAAAAGATGTACGACGTTTTTTTTGTTTAACATTTAATTTTGTTGCTTCAGTTGCTGTTGTTGTTTCATTATTTGAAGTTGTTGCTGTTGTTGATGGATGAAATTTTTTTGTGAATAAATTTTTTATTGATGAATATTGAGAAGAATGTTGTTCAGATTTTGGTTTTGTTGTTTCATCAATTGTTGTTAAACTTTTTATATTATCATAACTTATATCACGTTGTATTGATGATTTATATAAAGATTTTTTTGTTGATGTACTCATCTAAATTAAATGAAAAAACAAATGGAATAGTAGATAAAAGTCCTTTGTCTCACGTATGTCGATTACCATACAAGCTATAGAGAAGAAAATTTGTGTGCAAATATTTCATCAATGAGGAAATGTTCCCAAGTAATACATTACTTTGAAGCTGAAACTTTACTCAATCGATAGAGTCTAGTCAGTAAGTAAGTACTCAAGAGGGATTCGAGCTGT